TAAAAACGAGCAATCTTCAACTAAACAGCTGAACACAGAAATGGAAAAAGAGAGAAGAGAGACATAAAATCAATCAAGAAGCTCAACCTTGATTTACTAGAAATTCCAGAAAGAACATAAATAATAAAAGTGAGGAAATGAGAGAATTTCTCAGAAACGAAGGGCAAGAGGCTTCAGATTGAAAGGCCCCCTGACCACTCGGGATCGGATGGCGGAGGAAGGGGATCCCTGCACTGCACATGCTGGGGGGGGGGAGGGGAGGGGGGAGGCGGTGCTGCTACAGGCAACAGTCCAGCCGTCCCTCAAGATGTCAGACATAAACCACCACGCGCCCCACCGACACCCCCCGCCTCCGTGGGTACAGTCCTCGAAGACCTGGAACACAGGAATGCATGGGCTCAGCAGCACTATTCACAACAGCCCAAAAGTACATAGGCCTCGAGTGCCTACCCAGGCACATCCCTAGGACGGAGTATCGCTCGGCCATGAAAAGGAAAGAAGTGCTGACAACCTGCCAGCACATGCGTGAACCTTAGAAACCTTGTACTAAGAAGCCAGCGACACAAGAACATATATATCACTCCGTGTATTCGAACCATCCAGAACATGCAAATCTATAGCAACAGAACGCTTGGTCTGGAAGGTACTCGGATCAGTGGCGCTCGGGCTGGGAGGCACGGGCCCTCAGCGAACGGATCCCGAGCTGCTCTCTGCGGTGATGAAGATGTTCTAACATGGATGGTGGTGACGGCTGGCGTATCCGTGAGCACGCTGGAACCCATGGAATGGCACACTGTTAGTGGGTAAGTGGTGCGGTATATTAGTTACATCACAATACATTATTTTAAAAGAGGGATGAACCACTTTGAATGCCTGAAAGAAACCTAGAGAGAAATATTCTTTGGCTGGGGCTCGGAGGACAAGAAAGTAAGTACGAGGTGAGGAAACCAAGCCCAGTGAGGGTGCGAGGGCGAGAGCGGCGTCTGAGCACAGCCGGGAAAGCTACCTCGGGTGGAGAGAAGCCCGCCTTCCTCTGAAGGGTGAAGGAGGTAAGGGGTGTGGAGGCAGTGTAGACAGCAGGTGCGACACTGAGATGCGAGGGGAGGCGAAGGTGCAGGCGGCTTGCGGGGAGTCCCATGTCTTCGGCACCACTGGAACAAGGACACAGCATTTAAGTGACGTGCCTGAGCGCTCTTCCAACCCACCAGCAGCACCTGCTGTCAACACGGGTCTCTATTCTCGTCTCCCTAACGGCCCCTGTGTTTACACCAGGATCTGCAATTCATCTAAAAAGCATTTTCCCATACCGAGCATCCCAGCATTATCCCCCGAATTCCCCACACGGGAAACCTGTTTTCCCCCATCTTTTAACATTTTTAAAAATTATTTATTTAGAGAGACAGAGAGAGGTGAGTGGGGGAGGGACAGGGGAGACGGAGAATCCCAAGCAGGCTCACTGGTACCAGCACGGAGCTCGACATGGGGCTTGAACTCATGAACCATAAGATCACGACCTGAGCCAAAACCAAGAGTCGGACGCTTAACCAACTAAGCCACGCGGGCGCCCTGTTTACACCATCTTTACTCATCCAGGTGTCACTCTTGTTCTCAGATTTAACTCAGCATTGAGAGAAATCCAACAACGCTGATTAAAATTTACAGATAACAGAGGCGCCTGGATGGCTCGGTCGGTTGAGCATCCGACTCTGGCTCAGGTCATGATCTCATGGTTCATGGGTTCGAGTCCCACGTCGGGCTCTGTGCTGACAGCTCAGAGCCTGGGGCCCGTTTCAGACTTTCTATCTCCCTCTCTCTGATCCTCCCCTGCTCAAGCTCTCTCTCTCAGAAATAAATAAAAACATTTAAAAATAAATAAATAAAATTTACAGATAACAAGTTATGGGAATACTTTCCATGAAGCTTACGCAGTAACAGGGCAGGGGTAATTTCTGTGTTTCTGCTTTGCTCTCTATGAAGCAAGTCTTCCAAGCCCAATGCCAGGGTTTCTTTCACAACTCCAAGTCTATCAGTTGCAGAGGAGGAAAGGGAGGCGTATCATAGGAACTCACACCCGACCATGCGATTCCTGAAGGAGGCAGCGAAGTGGAGAGAGAAAAGCCGCGGAAGAGAGGGAAGCAGCACGGGTCCCGACCTGGAGCCTCTTCAGGGGAAACTGAGGGAACCCGAGGGAAACTGCGAAGAGGGCCCATGTGCTTTTGGTCCTGAAATCCCACCCGGCTCTCACTGGGAGGACCAGAGACAAACAGGGATGGAGATGTTCTGCTTCCTGTTCTCACGCCCTCCTGCGCTCACCCTCTCGCCTCCAGGCTTCAACTAAAAATAACTTTCTCCACAAAAGCCTCGGCTGGGCCTCTGACCACCTGAGTTTCTGATAAGTCAGGAGGTGGTGGGCAGCCAAGAGGCAGGCTGTGAGGACGCAGGCCGATTTCTGGCAAGGGAGAAGGGGAAGCAGGCAGGTCACGGGCCTGGGCTTTAGTGACCCCAGGACCCTTCCCAGGACACCTGAAGTACTCATAGAAGGAAAATAATCTTTTCTAAGGCAAAGTCCAATAATCCCTGACTTCCCGCAAACCTGCTTATGAGTCCTCAGGACAAAATCAGTATTTGACAACGGTGCTGTCACACGGTGACCTGCCATTTAACATCAACACGACATTTAGGTTCCCTCTGAAACGTAAAGCCGAACGCGCCCTAAGCCTCCACGCACCTGCGGGTCCTCCCGGGCCGGCAGCCGGCTCCTGCGTGGCTGCTGCTAAAGCTTCCGGGTGAAAGGCTAGACCCAGACTGCTCCTTTGTTATAGCTACAATGTCTTTTAGTAGAAATGAACAGATTTAAAATAAAAAGGTGAGCTATGAGAAACCAAACAGAGGTAAACAAAAGAAGGAATGGTAACATTAATATCAGATAAGGGGAGAGGCACTTGGGTGGCTCAGTCACCGAACTCTTGATATTTTGTTTTGTTTTGTTTCTGAGAGAGAGAGAGAGAGACAGCATGAGCAGGGGAGGGTCAGAGACAGGGAGACACAGAATCTGAAACAGGCTCCAGGCTCTGAGCTGGCTGTCAGCACAGAGGCCGACGCGGGGCTCGAACCCACGAACCGTGAGATCATGACCTGAGCTGAAGTTTGAGGTGTAACCGACTGAGCCACCCAGGTGCCCCCTTTTTTTTTTTAAAGTTTATTTATTTTTGAGAGAGAGCAAGAGAGACAGAGCATGAGTGGGGGAGGAGCAGAAAGAGAGGGAGACAGAATCCGAAGCAGGCTCCAGGCTCTGAGTTGTCAGCACAGAGCCCGATGTGGGGTTCGAACTCATGAACTGTGAGATCATGACCTGAACCGTAGCTGGCACTCAACCAACTGAGCCATCCAGGCGCCCCTCTTGATTTTCGCTTAGGTCATGATCCCAGGGTTGTGGGATCAAGCTCTGTGCTGGGCTCCACCGTGTGGAGACTGCTTAAGATTCTCATCCTCCCTCCCTCCCTCCCTCTCTCCCCCTGCTCCTCTCCCCCACTTGCTCTTTCTCTCAAATTAAAAGACCAAAAAAAAAAAAAAAATCAGATAAGAGAATATTGTTTAGACATACATTAAAAGCATTAACCAGGATAAAAAGGATCTTATGGAAGGCATAATTTACAAAGACAGGGCATAATCTTGTAAGAACCAATGACATAATAGTTACATACAAAAAGAAGACCTCCCAGAAATGCAAGAAAATTTGTTTAAAATATATTTAAGGGGCGCCTGGGTGGCTTAGTCGGTTAAGCGTCCGACTTTCGCTTAGGTCATGATCTAGAGATTCGTGGGTTAGAGCCCCGCGTCGGGCTCTGTGCTGACTGCCAGCTCAGAGCCTGGAGCCTGTTACAGTCTGTGACTCCCTCTCTCTCTGACCCTCCCCTGCTCACGCTGTCTCTCTCTCTCTCCTAAAAATAAAAAAATTAAAAAATTAAAATCAATAAGCCTGAATGCTAAAAACAGTAAACCTGATGGAACAGAGTCATAGAACTTATAAAAAAATTTTTTTAACATTTATTTCTTTTTGAGAGTAAGAGAGACAGAGGGCAAGCAAGGGAGGAGGAGGGAGGGGGAGAGGGGGGGAGAGAGAGAGCGAGCGAGTGGGAGGGAGAGCGGGAGAGAGAGAGAGAGAGAGGAAGACACAGAATCCAAAGCAGGCTCCAGGCTCTGAGCTGTCAGCATAGAGCCCAACGCGGGGCTGGAACTCATGAAACGCAAGATCATGACCTGAGGGGAAGTCAGACACTTAACTGACAGAGCCACCCATGCGCCCCAGGATTTAAGACTTAAAATGGACTAAGTAACACAAAGTAGTTTGACTCCAGTTGCTAATTATTCTTCAAACACAACTCCTCTGCCAAAACACTTTGATACACTGCTCATTTTACATAGAGTGGACTCCAAACATTCAGAATCCTTCCTGCTTTAACTTAACGGATTTTACATTTCAACCTATGCTTTCTTGTCTGTGATTTTTGTTTACTTAGAATGCTATTTATGATCTGTGACGGCACAGCAAATCCTACCCACCACCTATAGACGGATTAGTTCAAATGTCCATGAAAAGTTCTCAGATCCAACTGAACTATGTTTGAATTCACAAGTACCACAGCAAATCACTGTCAGCTTTTGGCTTGCCAACTTAAGCTCTCCGACAGTTATACGACATTGGTCAGTGTCACCCCCCAACCCCAGACCACCAGTTCGTGTCCTTCCCAGAACCTGAGAATGTGACTTCATCTGGCAACAGTCATCGCAAATGTAATTAGTTAAGCTCAGGTTACACTATACTAAGGTAGGTCCTTTGTCCAAGAGGGCTGTGTCCTTTTAAGAGGAAAACACAGATACCCAGAGAAAACATCCCAGGAGAACCTTTCAGAGATCCGAAAGATGCAGCGACAAGCCAAAGAACTCCCAGGATGGCTGGACACCACCAGAAACTAGGAAAAGGCAAGGAAGTATTTTACCCAGGGTTTCAGAGGAAGCGTGATCCTGCTGCCACCTTCATTTCGGACTTCCTGGTTCCAGAACTGCAAGATAATAAATGCGTCGTTTTAAGCCACCCACTTTGCGATACTTGGTTACGTCGGCGCTAGGAAACTAAAGCAAGGGCAGTTTACACGGCAATTTACATTTCCAATGTATCTTCCTAAGCCCCCGGCGCTGCGTCCCTAGTCCAGCTGAGAACTATGACGTACTCAAGCCCTGCCACGAGTGGGCTTCCGGCAGCAGCAGTCAGGGGTCACCAGACGCTTCTGGGCTCGCGCCGGGAGACCGCGGACGGCAAACGCTCACACGTGGGAAGCACCGTGACTGTTCAGATCTGCGGCTGCGCAGACGAACGGCGGCCGCAGACTAAATGAAACACGGGGCAGCCGGACGGAGAAGAGCCTCGCTTTCCGGGAGGAAGGCGCGAGTTCTTGAGGACCTGGGGGATCCCCGAGCCGCTCGCCCAGGCCCCGCCCCGGCCCCGCCCCACTCCCCACGGCCGGGGACCCAGCAACAGCGACCTCCAGCTCCGGAGTCCCTCCGGCTCACTCTCCGCGCCACCGCCTCACCTCCGCGGGCGCGTCCCGCTCTGTTACGCTGTTGCGTGGGGGGAGGGACTTCCTCCCCACACCGGAAACCGGAAGGAGCTCTTTCCCGCCGGAAGGAGAGTGGAGTTGCTGCCGGGATCAGGTCCGCCAGGGCTCTGTACGGCCGTGGCGTGGAGTGGGGCTGCTCTCTGGCCACCAGCGGGGCGGGCGACAGCATCGCCCTAGTGGGCAGGCTGGCTGGCGTGTCAGGTTTCGGGGAGTATGGCGGGGAACTGGAGTGGAGGTGAGAGGTCGGCCTATCTGTCGCGGGGTCTTGGGTCTCATTCCTAACTCTTGTTCAGCTTTTTCGATCTCGTCTAAAAAACCAGCCTGATAGTTCACGGAGCTGCGGTGGGGAATATATGTGGAAGGGAGAAGGAAAGCTTAAGGAAAAATAATTCAATAGGTTGAATTTAACATAAGTGGTCACTTAAAGGATGTGACTCGAGGGCCTGCGTATAACTAGACGCTCTGAATCGGGGAGTCTTGCTTGAGGCAGCAGCACCTGTTGCATCATTTTGAAAACATACGCACACGGCGGGTGATTTTCAAACTTTTTGAGTCGGCCAGCGAAGTAATTTGGTGTCAGGAGGACCAGCCATCTGGGTCATCCCCCGCGGTTCAGTTTATAATTGAAGCATAAGGAGAGGAGGCAGGCTGAAAGTCAGGAGTTAGAAATGTGTCTTTTATTGTTTTTTATTTTAAAAATTTTAATGTTCTTGAGAAAGAAAGAGACAGCGTGGGGGGGGGGGGGGCAGAGAGCGCCGAAGACACAGAAGAAGACACAGAATCCGAAGCAGGCTCCCAGTTCCGAGCTGTCAGCACAGAGCCTGACACAGGGCTTGAACTCACCAGCCGTGAGAAAATGAGCTGAGCCCAAGTCGGCAGTTCAACAGACTGAGCCACTTAGGCGCCCCTGCGGGCAGTTTCTGTTGCACTCGCTCCTCTTGACCATTTAGCTCCTTTGTCTTCCATCGGTGACCACAGCCAGCTAGATTTTACATCTCCCTTCTCTCACTTCTAGAACTTGAGACTTTTCAATGGATTAGTAACTGCACAGAAACGTATCCACTGTTGAATTCATCATTATTCCATGAGTAGGTGTTTAAAATGCCTTATACTTTACAGAAATCCTTGGTAGATAGATATATATGGTTATTTGGGGGAGATTAGCTTGAAATTCTTTGAAAGGCTGGGAACATATTTTTCCAATTTAAAATAATGAAGCCTAGGATCTGAAAATTTCCATAAACCTTTTAGAAAAGGATGAGATTTTAAGAATGACAGATGCCTCCATATATATTGCATTTACCCCCTACATCTGATAGAGAGGTTTGGCTAAAATTTTGCCGGGGGGGGGGCGCGGGGTGAGGAGTCTCTCCCATAAAATAACTTTTTAAAGACACTTGACATTTGAGAAGGTGTACTGGGACAGAAGAAAGGTTGAGACTCACTATTTTTTATCTCCCTCTTCCACTCAACACACTGTTTGAGAGTGCTTTGCTTTTTTTTTTTCTTTTTTGAGAGAGAGATCAGTGGGAGAGAGAGAGAGAATCCTAAGTAGGCTCCATGCGAGTCTGGAGCCCAACTGTGAGTGAGATCATGACCTGAGCAGAAATCAAAGTCGGACGCTTAACCAACTGAGCCACCCAGGTGCCCTATGACAGTGCTTCGCTTTCTGATGAAGAGATTTTCTTTTAATCTGGAAGACAATTCGATGCCTCTTATCTCTTTTCAGGGATGTGAGCTCTTCGACAGCAGAAAGCCTTTGCTTCCATGTTCTGATTAGAGACTATGAAGATATGGTTCCCCCCTTTGGTTTGCATACGGCTCAGCGGAGCAGATCCAGGTTAATGGTTGTAGTGTGCACACAAGGATTCAAAGAGAGGTGAGTATGTGCCACTTAACTCTGCCTGGGTGAGGGAGGAATTAGGAAGTGCTTCCACGAAGTGACTTTTGAGCTGTACAGGCATTAGGTGGACCAGAAAGGGTAGGTCCATTCCAGGTACCTAGGGATCTGTGGCTTGTTTATAAATTATGAATCACACAGAAGACAGTCTCCAGTATCTTCTACCTTTCTTCGGAGGGCTGTCCTTACTTTTGGATAGTGCTTCTCTTGTTTTCCTTCTCTCTCCCTGTCCTTCTACCCCACAATTGGATGGATGTTGAGGACAGAAAAGAAGTCAGAGGGTAGGCGTCTTTCTGAGTGGCGGAACATAGGACAGGTTTACCAAGAAGTAATGATTGTACTCAGGAAATCCATCTCTAAAAACTGCGTTCCTGCTTTGTTAAAATGCACAGCTGAGAAACCTCAGTTTTGTTGATTGATTGCTTTCCTAATGAATGGATTATATTCTGGTCTCTAATCCAGTCTTCTCAAGTTTGGGAGCCTCTCTTAAGCCACATCTAGCCCTAGGAATGAGCATGGGGGAGACAGCAAAATTAGAGTCCAAGTTCATACTACAAAAGCATTTTTATTGGCTGTATCTGAGTGACCGCCTGGTGTTTGAGCTGCAAGCTGTGTAGTTGAATTGTAATTCAAATCAATGATAGTTTAATTTGACCAGGATTTGATGAAGGTGGAAATAGAACAGAAAAACCTGATTCTGTCAAAGGCTGGGGAGAATGAACAAAAAGCAATCTGTCAGTGAATCGGGCCTAGTGTTTTCTGGGGCTGGAATAGCAGAAACTAGCAGTGAAGTGGTAGGTGGGACGTGATGTGCGTGACCAGAACCAGCACCTGTGCGGCAGCAGCTGTAAAATCATTACTGACGTGGGGCATCGTGCCCAGCTCATCGTCACGCTCCTTCTAGGAGACTTGCTGACGGAGAAGATTCCAATAGACTGGAATCCTCTTCCCAAATCAAGAACTCTCATGTTACGTTTAGATTCCATAACCATTGGTCACAGGGAAGCACTCATATGTTAGAGTTCAAATCTCTGAACACTTGAAAAGTAACTAGTTCTCTAAAGTAGTCGATTATCATTGCTTTCGTGTCTTACACGCTAGAGGACAGCGTTTTAAAAGCTGGACTTGGTCTTCTGGAGACTAAGAAAATAGAGTCCTTGAAGTCAAGCCGACTCTGCTGTTAGCCTCCTAAATGAAAAGGTAGATAGAACAGGTCTTGTTTACAAAATAAATTCAAGACCTACTTATCTACCAACAGCATTTATACACATCGTGTGGTCTTACTGTGGAAAACGGGAACAGTAAATTGAGAGATCAGAAAGGAGGGGAGAAGACAGTGAGCCCACGAGACTCTTCCCATACTAACTGATAGGAAGGTGGCTGGAAATTGGAGAAGTTGTTCAGGAAAGTGGACGACAGGACCTTTCCCGTCGTGCAGCCTTCAGAGGGTCCAGCAAGTTCTCTGGTAGCTAAAGCTCCTTGGACAGAGACCAGCGTATCTCATTTACAGAACGCCACGTCATGGTGATTGCGCTGCGGGCAGCTGCCGGGGTGTGAGCCATGTAAGGTTATGATTCTGACAAATATTGAGAGGGTGAGAGGCATTAAGGAAAAGGCCTCATTGCCCATGCACTCGCTCTGCTTTATACCGATCACCAAGCATGGGCTTCAGACAGATTTTATTGGATGTGTATAAGGGATGGCATATCATTGTTGGAATCAGCAGGAAGTCCATTATTAAACATACACTTTTCCACATAAAAGGCAGTTTATTTTACCGGAAACCAGTGTCTCTGACCAACTTTTCAGGCCCATCGAAATCTAAGGGTGCCTTAAATTCCGATTATTCTGAATTACTAAACCCATATTAGTTTACACCAAGAACCTGTGGTTATTTTACGTATTCTCTTTCCCCTTTGTTGAGGGAAGCCAAAGTTTATGTTAATGACTTACTCAGAGTTAGAAAGTAATATAAGGAAAGCGAAGAAAAGAACAGATAAAAGAACAGGCCTGTATCTTTTGTTTCGTGTGCACAGTGTTAGGGATTGTGGCTACAATGTTCTGACTTTTTAAAAATTTGTTTTGTTTTGTTTTTTAACAGATATATCAGCAGGTTGCAGGTGAACATGGCCTTGAGGTAAATCCTGCCCCTTGTTGAAATTTAGTTTCAGCAGATTATTCATGGTAATTTAGGAACTGGAATATTTTACAGAAAAAAAAAAAAGTTTTATGGTTCTGTTCTAGACTTATTTTTCTTCTTATAAAGAAACATGTTTAAACAAAACCACTACACTGAAGGATTGTGAATGCCTTAAGTTGGTCATCTGCCTCGTTTCAAGTAAGTGGATTTTATATGTCAACACAAATTTCTGGATGTTTTTTTCTTGGTCAATAAAAGATTTACTCAAACCTTACAGGTGTTGTTTTTAATCATTTTATCCATGTTCGGATTACATGTGAAATATTCCATAAAGCCTTTATAGAAAGCTGAATTCAAACTCACCTTATCTGTGATCGCTTACTTCCTGCCTGGTAGTTTCTGTCTCAGTGGCTATGATCAGTTTTGAATATACACATATGTATTTTCTCTTAGTAACTTGAACCATCTCTGTGTTTACATCGGCTGTACCTTCTTATCTCAGGGTAGTGATGCAGCTTGACGGGGCAGGTGTGTGTGAGAGAGAGAGACAGAGAGAGAAAGAGACGAGCTGTCAATTTGTTAATTCCAGAACTTGAGTGGCTCTTTCTATCAACAGGCAGGGTTTTGAGACAGGAGATGAGAGGCGTTCGTCATGTCAGACTTTGGGCCAGAAAACACAAAAGTTTTAGAGTCACAGAACTTTGAGCTCCCACGAACCATGATGAGTGACGGGATACGGGGCACATCTGTGTAGAGAGGCTTCCTTGGGGCAGAACGGAACGGTCCCTGAGAACCGCTTCACAGGTGGGGTGCCGGACTGCGCCTGCACATACAGGCCCGAGGGCGCGGCGGGTCCCCAACTCTGTGCCCGCCCGTGCAGGCTCGAGGATGCCGCATGCAGAGCTTTAAGTGGCAGCCAGAGCCCCGCGTGGAGAACCAGCAAGGCAGCCCCGGGGCCGGTGCTGGGGTCACAGGACGGCACAAGGGCAGAGGGGCAGGAGCCCCCGAGCTGCCGGCCCAGGGGCCACTCCGCGCACGGTGCTCAGCGCTTGCCTTTGGCGGGCCACCTTTTGTCTCCCGAAGCTGCCGTGCATTTGCCGTCCATCCCATCTTGTGCGCGACCGTGTTCGTCATTAAATCTCCCGGTCCTCTGAGATTAGTACTATGTTTTCTCTGTTTAAAGGGACACGGGAGCTCTGGTAGATCGTGTGACTCTTCGCAGAGTAGCTGCAGAGGAGCAATCAAATCTAAGTCTTTTGATCTCCAGTCTGGTTCTCTTCACGTTACAGGCCAGTTCCTAGAATCAGTTGTGACTAATGTTCTCTATTTTCCCCAATTTACCCCCCCACCCCCCCCTCCGATGCAATGAAAGTGCCACATTTACGTGGAGCCAAGTGTGTAGCAGCGAGTGTTCCGTTCGGCCCAGTCTTGCCGTCCCGCCGCAGGCGCCCTTCTGTTCAGACTGCCTCCCTCCCGGTGGTCTCCGTGCCCCCCCCACCATGCGCCCTGCGCCCTTGCTGTCGTTGGGAAAGAGCCCCACCATCCCTCACAGGGAGAGCAGTGAGCGCCCAAGAAGAGTAGTTGGATGAAGAAAATACCAATTTATTCAGTATTTGGTGTGTACTGTTACGTGTTAGCCCTTAGGGACCGAATGACGGACGAGACAGACCCTGTCCCCGCCTTTGTGGAAGTGCGCACGGTAGACGTCACAGTGCGTGGGGGAAGGTGCGGGAGGGAGAGGAACGGGTTACACGGTGCTCAGTGGGAGAAAGCTCATCACTGCCATTAACTCCGGGGCAGACAGAGAAGGCGCGAGGCTGCCCTGCTGCTCTGTGCACGGCCCCTCGCCTTCTCGAGTCTGTTCACGGCTGACAAGCGGACGTCCCAGGTGTGCCTGGCGCGGCCACTAACGCTTTTGTAGCTGTTCCGTCCCTTGCCCCCGCCCCCAGCTCTGCAGGCCTCGGACATTCAGATACTTTGCGTGCAAACGAATAGACCACCACAGTTCGGCCGCTTGAAAGACCCCGGAGTTCATTTCATCTGAGCCGGGCCTGGTAGTGACTAACCTAACATCATGCAGGCGGCAGCGCACAGGACTAGGACCCCGTGCTTGAATGCCAAGTTCAACCCGCTGAGGGGGCAGGGGACAGAAGAGAGGGAGCTGGCATCAGGACGGCCTAGTAGAATGTGGCGTGCTTTGGCACTGAAATGCCGTTATGGATCTTCAGACACCCAGGCTTTTCCAGAGAAAAACAGGGATGCACAAATTGGTGAAGCCGACAACTAAATGTGTACAGATGCTGAGAAATGTCCACATTGAAAAATGACAGTTTTGCATTTTCATAGTCTAACAGAATGCCGATCTTCCTCGGGGACACAGTTATTCTTATGTCTGGGGTCGTCTTGTTGTGCAGGAACTCATACTCATGCCTGAAAAGTAAACGGTGATATGACACGGCTTCGGAAATTCCGCAGATGGGCTACTTCCAGAATGTTCATATTCTCAGATCATGCTACGATCATGTTATGCTTTTCAATTAATTGACTACCAGAGTAACAGTTCATTTCCAAAACCGTCTCTCTTCTAAAATTTGTCCTAAGAGACTTCTCTTTTTAAACTTCGTTTTTGAACAATCCCTTCACCTAAGAAACTTACGTACAGTAATGTACACTCTTACTGCATCAGAGTTTGCATAGAAATAGGTGTTTTAAAATTTTGGATCTTAAGGTTCAGATGTGTAAAGCCTTTGTAATAAAGATGTTTGAAACGGGGAGGCTCATGATCTTTCATGTAATAAAATGTGCCTTTTGGTATAATCTGTGCACGGGGACTCAGGCACAGTCCTTAGACCTTCAGATGCGGCGTGGCCAGCAGGGGCCTGTCACCGCTCCCCGCAGCCTCGCCCAGCACCCTCTCCCCCTGCTCCGTAGCCCGGGTGCTTTGAAAAAATGGCCGGAACCCAAAGCAGCCACGGGAACCTCCTACCTCTGCTACCTACAGAAGCCTGCAGAGCGCGGCGCCGCCAAGCTGGGCCCCACGCCTGGGAGGAGCACTTGGAATATGGTGTCGGTGACAGAGCGAGCCAGCCCGGCTCCAGCTCGGCTCCAGCCCGGCCGCCTCATCTTCCCCGCAGCTCCTTCCTTAGCTAAGCAGTGGCCGGAAGCCAAGGGAGCCCTGCCCTCCACCTCCCACCACAGCATCGGATGAAAGCATGACATAGAGTCAGCTAGGATACCTTGTCCTCCCCCACTCGCGACTCTGTCTGTCCTGTGTCGTTCCAAGGTGGGGCCGTGGAAGCTGCGCGGCCTGTTCGGCTTTTTGCCCGTCCTTTTCCCCGCTGTCTCATGTTTCCACCCTCTTCTGACTTCTGACCACCCAGCCCTCCCACCGTACACAGACTCCTCTTGCGTTACTCTCCCCGTTCTCTTCTGCCCTTTGTTCTTCCCTCTTTAGGAGAGGGTACTTTGACTTCTAGCCTTATTACACTTCTGGCAGAATCTCCAAATAAGCTATTTGGCTCAGTGCCTACTATTTCCTGTGTTCCTCAGACTAGGTCTGAGCTTTAGTAGAGTCCATTCCAGTCCAGGTATCTTACAGGGGGGAGGTTGGTCTTCCCGCATATGCGCGGGCATGACAGTGTTTAATTGACCGTGAAGGAGGTTCACCAGCAGAGAAGATGGGATCAAACATGAATAGGGCACAGCAAGCCAATGAGGGTCAGAGGCCCATGGCGCAAGAAGTGCTGGGGAAGTGGTGTAAATTTTTGTAATTTTTTAGGTGAAGGGAGGCCTCCTAAGTCTGAAAATGTCCACAGGACTGCACCTCATTGGGTTTTCCCAACTTTCTAGAACTAATCCATGCGTGGAGGACAGAGTGCTTAGCAGCAGAAGCAAACCAGAATTAGCCATGGCTATTCAGCCACTCACAAACATGGAATTGGGGGTTCAGATCAAATGGTATCCATTTAATAACTCAGGTTGAGCATGAATGAAAAACTAAGCACTTAGTGGTTAAGAATGCTGTCTTTGGAGCCAGACTGCCTGGATTGGATTCCAAGCTCCAAAACCCCACGTTGGATGGATTATCTGATGCTGTGAGGCATAGCTTATTTTTAAAATGGGGTCGTATACTTGTGAGAAGGAAACAGGATGGTGCATGTAAGCGGATGCAACAGTGCCTGGCCCAGAAGCAGCTCTCCACAAATTTTAGCTATTTCTGTCTGAAAGAAAAGTACCCCAAGCCGCTCTTCCTCTTCTCATCTGGACTTCAGGGGAAAGGGCTGGAAAAGAGCTGCGAACTATCTCAGAATATCTTCTGAAACCTACTATAGGCCTTAATTATTGCTAGTGAAGCCTCTCACTCTCTTCTTTCAAAGCAAATTTTAGTATTGGGCGTCCAGATTCTACTTTACCGTGATGATGCAAATCTGTGCCTCATGCACCAAGACAGGCAGTTTGCTCCCAGGTCCTCCTGTTTAGGGACATCTTCAAAGGCCACACCCACCGTGTAGTCCGACCGCTGGTCCACCTCCACCTCCCAGTAATGGCGCCCTCGGATTGGAATGAGATTCCCCATGACTGCAACACACCTGGGTTTAGAAAGTGGAGGCGCATGTGACTGGGGGCGGCCTGAGCCTGGCCGTGCAGGGGGGTGATGCCAGCCGTTGGGGTCGGCCTGCAGGCAGAGGCCAGTGTTTTGAACACCTCCCTCATGAAGCGGCTCATCCTCAGCTCACCTGATGGATGGGGAAGGTTCTTACCCTGCTGGTAATTGGAGCAAGTTAGGAAAGGCTCTATTTGCATTTTTAGTAACTTTTTAGTGACAAAAATAAAGATTTGGTTCACTTGCTCATAAAAAAAAAAAAAAAAGGATTTGGGGCCCCTGGGTGGCTCAGTGAGTTAAACATCTGACTTCGACTCAGATTTGTGGGTTCGAGCCCCACATCAGGCTCTGTGCTGACAGTTCAGCGCCTGGAGCCTGCTTGGCATTCTGTGTCTCCCTGTCTCTCTGCCCCTCCGCTGCTCACACTCTGACTCTCTCTCTTTCAAAAATAAATAAACTAAAAAAAATTAAAGCAAACAAAAGGGACTGAAACTTAGAACTCAGCACAGTCAAGGGAACCATGCACTTGAAGTTCAGGAAGCGACCAGCCCCGCTGATGCTACACAACTAGCATGGAGGCTTTGACGTGACACATATCTGAGGGGTGGCTACAGGCAGAAGACCAGGATCTGAAACACAGACGCAAACCTGAGAGGAGCAAATAGCAAATTCCTCACCAATGATCAAAATTGACCTGCAAGACATCACTGGGAGCAACTGCACTTACAAAGGTCAGAGTTGTGTTTTGTTTTACAACAATACAGCATTCTTCAGAGGAAGGTTCTTGGTGGAATTCAGATCACATCAGTATCTCCAAAATGAAGAATCACCTCCTGCAGGAAACTTCTACATTAGCCAAACTGAGTGGCCTCCCCAAACCCTGGGCAGATTTGTTCAGGGGTCATTAGCAAGAGATCTCTGCTCTCCGATTCCAAGTTCTGGAGGCCAAGCAAAGCCCTGGGAAGGAGGCTGCACATGACATAGCTCCTCCTCTGGAAAACAAAGCCATCTCTACTCTCCGCTCTAGCCCACATCTCCACCCATCTGCTGTCCCTCATTGAGAATGTCCCCACGAGAGCTTACCACATTCCCACCCCTCCCACAGCCCACCAGACTTTGTGTTTTGCTTGTGGTGGGAAGGAGGACTTACACTTCGCGTTTTCTCCGTTTTGGTTAATAGATTTCATTATCTACCCAGCAATCAAAGGCAGAAAACAGTAACCCAAGACAGAATAATGTAGTGGTGACACGCTCAGCTTCTAGTTTAATTCTGACTCCAACCCTTAATAGCAGTGTGCCTTTGGGCAAATTGCTTTACTTCTCTGTGCCTCAATGATCTCATCTGTCAAACTGGACTCATAATGGGATGGACCTCACAGGCTGTCGTGATGATTCAATGAGCTAATCCACGTAAAGCTCTTGGAACATGTCTAGCACCTGATAAACACCATACGTCACAGTCCCTGATGCATCCCTCCCCTGCTCGTCCCGTAACCAGCTGGCCTCTCTCCTTGTTGGTTTTATGTGCTACATATCTGTTGAGCCCATCAGCTCCTCTCATCCACCTAACTGCCAATTTGCTCAAGGCCTCCACAGCCCCTTCTCGGGTCTCCTGGGTTCCTAGCTGCTTCTCCCCCTCCTCCCCAGTTCACCCTTGCCCCCCCCCCCCAGTGGGATCCTTCTGAAATGTAAATCTGATTGTGTCACTTCCCCTACTTGAATCCTCCAATAATTCCCACCCCTCAAAGGATAAGATCCAAACTTGTTTTGCACTAGAACTTTTCCATCTTTCCTGCCTCGTCTTCCACTTCTTCCCATTAATGGACCCTATACCACAGACACGCTAAGCTGGGAGCTCTCCAAACGCATGGGCTCCCTGACTTCCGTTGCTTGTCCATGTAGGAGGCACTTCTTCTGCCCTGTTGGCCTGGAGAACTCCCTTTTATCCTTCAAGCCCTTGCCTCTCCAGGAAGCCTTCTTCCCGGGGGCTCCTACGGTGCCTTGTCCATATGCTGCCGTAGCTTTTACAGGTGTGTCTGACACGTGTCTCTCCCCCGCCTGCCAGTCTGAGTCAGGTGCGCAGGGAGAGTATCTTTGTCTCTTTACGCCCAGCGCACAGCATGGTGTTTCACAGGACAATGGATATACTGGTGACGGGATATTGAAACGGGACCGTCTAACTTGGCTGGACCCCAAAAAGCCAAGAGCAGAACAACAGGTGGTGAGATCCCCCCTAGTTCAAGGCGAGCGGCGGGAAGGAGTACTTACACCTCCCCCCTGTGCAGGACTCGGTGACCAAAAACTTGTTGGTGACTTTTTAGCGCAACACCAAATGGCTGAAGCGAAGCTGCTCGAGGGGGGGCTGCCCGGGGAGCTTCCACACACGCAGTGAATAGCAGGGGCCTGGTCAGGGGGATGTGCCTTCAGAGGGCCGGGTGTGGACAGGACCCACTGCAGGAAAGCTGCCTCCGGACTGTTTGTGGGAAGATCCCGTCCAAGCTGCCCGTGAGGGCCCAGGAGGCCTCGGCGGAAAGAACGAGAACCACTGGGTGCGGAGGTTGACGGGCTGCCAGGGGCCTACCCACATCGCACTGGTACCAGTTAGTACCGACAGGCCAAAAACAGGACAACAGGCCCAAAATGGAGCCCGTTACGCTAAGCCCCACGTCACCAAGAAGTGGAATCTTAAACCAGCCAGGAGTTGCCCGATGAGCACTAGCGAGGTGACGTGCCTCACAGACCCTGCTGTCCCCTGCAGGAAGTAACCTCACCACAGCCACGCGCTGCCTCGCCTACAGTAACTTGACCCATCAAAGCCTTTCATCCTGTGCAGCTCCTGAGAGCTCCTGTCTGCCTGCTAGACTGGGTGGAACCCGGTTCACAGCTTGTGGAATAAAGCCAATAAGATCTTTAAAAGTCTACTCAGTTGATTTTTTTTTTTTTTTTAAACACAGGTAAGGCCTTTATTGCTTCACATCCCTCTCCAGGCCCCGCAACCCCAGGTAGAATGGGCAGAGGCAGGAAAGGATCAAGTTGCTTTCCACGGTACCCTGCACACTTGGGCTACTGCATGCGAACACTTATGTAGAGTAGGTCTCACACACACACACACACACACACACACACACACACACACACACACAGTAAAAAGGCCAGCAGGGAGCCAACGTCAGCAGAAGAGCCAGCTCTGGGATAGTCTAGGACCCGGGCAGGGAGGCTGGATGCAGTTTCTTTCTTTCTTTATTTTTCAGAGAGAGAGAGCAAGGGCAGGGGAAGGCCAGAGAGAGAGAGGGAGACATAGAATCCAAAGCAGATTCCCAGCTCTGAGCTGTCAGCAAATAGCCCAACATGGGGCTTGAACTCACGGACTGTGAGATCATGATCTGAGCCAAAGTCGGACCCTCAACTGACTGAACCCCCCAGGCGCCCCTGGATGAAGTTTCCATCCATAGCCCTTGCAGCCCCCACGGGAGAGCCCCTTTGCCTCCTTAGAAGATCCTCCTGACTCTAAAACCAACAGGCCAAGAACTCTTCCTGTCCGGACGGGACCAGGAAGCTGAGAGCCACCTTTAATGTGTAACCATGGAAATGGAATGAGCCCTTGGCGTTAACCTCTGTTCTTTTTCTCCCATTGCTTTGACTTTTCTATTTCAGTGGTGTGTATCTGCCCCTCATGTGAAGTCTTCCTTAAGTATTTGGAAAGAAGTGAGGCATAAATAAACTGCTTCAATGTGAATTGAGCACCAAGGACTGGAAACAGCTACACTTCTAGACAGACGGCGCACATCTTTTGGGGGACCGCCCCCCCTCGGGTCATGCACCAGCACAATCCCTCACCGGCTGTAGGAGACAGAGCACCAGCCCAAGCCTGAGAGACCTACATGCTTGTTTCTTTCCCCAACGCCCGTCAGTGCCCCTCGTCGTGGCTGCAGGGCACGGCCTCCAGCTCGGCGGCCGGACCCCACCTCAGAAGCCACAACAGGTGTCTTCAGCCCACACCAGCCAGACCCTTCCTCCGCTCCAGCTCCCCAGCCTCCCCTCCCCCGCCCCAGACCCCTAGCCATTTCTGGGACCTCTTCAAGTTCTGTCATCACCACTTTTTATGTAAACAACAACGTGTATTAGGGAGATTCACGGAATGTTCTAGTGAGTGGCTGGCGAAGTACCTGGTGAACCGGGTGTTGCTAGGGAGCAGCTCTGTTGCTGGGGTTTTCTTTTCGCTCCGCACGACTGTGAACCCATCCTCCGAAATGGTCAGCCCGGCGTGGCAGGTGTGCTGGTTCAGGTGAAAGTAGCTGCCTGTGTGGGCGAAACACGCGAAGAGCCCCAGCCAGTCCCACCCCCGTGCCGGCCGGGGGTCCTGGCCTCACAGTCCTCTCCCTCCCGCCACCGACGATGGTGGCGGTGAGCATGCGCTGGGAGCCAGCGTGCCTCGCCCCCAGCAGGCAGTGTACAAGTCTCCCCCGGTTCAAGCCTCAATTACTCTCAGAACCGCATTATTATTTACACCTGGGGAGGAGAAAACTGACGCACCAGGTGGTTTAAAAATAATCACCTGGCGGGGCACCTGGGTAGCACAGTCTAAGCTTAGTGTTGGACTCCTGATCTCCGCTCAGGTCATGATCTTATGGTTCATGAGTTCGAGCCCCCTTGACGGGCTCTGCGTTAATGGCGAAGGGCCTGCTTGGGATTCGGTGTCTCTCTCACTCTGCCCGTCCCACTCTCTCTCTCTCAAAATAAACAAATGAACTTAGAAAAAAAAAAACTGGCAACGACACAACTCAAGTTTGAACCCCCAAATCCCCCTGATTCCACGGGCTTTGCTCTAAGCTGGGAGGCTTATAAGAGCCTGCTCACGGACAAGAATTTCTAACCTACCTGCCAAGGGAAATGGGAATTGAGGAGATTAACGACCAATCTGACAAAGGGAAGTGGAATTCAACATTTCAATGAGGGCAGTGGCGGAGAGGCAAGGAGATTACAGCCATCCCCAAATTGTGGTTAAAACAGAGCTCACCAAAAAATGGTATAGAACAGATTGTTGAATAAAAAAATTACTTAATAAAAACTTTATTTAGTAAAAAAAAAAAATCCATTATTTAGGAACATAGTAACTAATTCCCCATTACAGTGACTTAGCTAAGTTCTTTTTTCTCGAGTTCCTATTCTGTCACTTCTTTCATCTGACACCTGGGTGCAAACATCGCCATCAAGCTGTTCACAATGATTTCCACAGTTTGACGCTGCTGGAAATCTCATTCGCTGTCTGCAGGTTCCCAGCTGAGAAGCGATGCACCACGTGCGCCCTTGCTGCCAGCTTGCCGGTTCCAAGCGAGGGTCATTTTTTAATCTATAATAATTTTTGCTGATTTGTGTTCATTTAAGGTTTTCATAAATACACTCTTTTCTTCCATTTTATGTCTTTTAGAGGGAGAGAGAACAAACGTGCAAGAGGGAGAGTGGCAGAGCCTGACTTGGCCTATTTTCCAGAGAAGCCGTGCAGCGCTGGTCTGCCCCAAAGTGGCTCCCTGAGGTCTTAAGGGCATGAGGCCAGGGCACATACCTGTGGTGTAGACCGTCACGGGGTCGCTCCTTGCACTGGGGCCCCCCACGCTCAGGGCTCGCACGTAGATGGTGTAGCGCTGCCTGGGCTGCAGCTGCACCAGGGCCTCGCACGTTGGGATGCCCACAACCGACCTGGGCACAGAAGGGGAGCCTCAGTCACGGGGTGGGGGGTGCGCTGGGCAGCCAGGCCCCGGCACATCCCTTTTAAAGCTGGGATTTTAAACTCGCCCTCGCACCGCAGCCTCCGGCCTACACCGCCGGCGGGTTTCCTCTTCCAGCTCTACTTTCCTCGTTCCGTTGTTACTCCTCGTGTCTGTGGCCCTCTGCCCTCGGGGCTCCCCAGCCCGAGTCCCCGGCCCCCAGCTGTCCCACGCTTGGCCTCGGTCTCCCACTGTGCCCCCAGCTGTCTGATGGGTCAGAACCTCTCCGAGGGCGGGGGCTGAGTGCCGCCCGCCTCAGCCCAGCGCTGGGCCTGTAGCAGGTACCTCGGTCTGTGTTTATGAACCGACATCTCTGGCGAGAGCGGAAGGGCAGCACAGAAGCCCCCCGGGGACCCAATTTATTGCAATTCTACCGCACACAAACACAAGCGGATAACTGTCGGCCTTGTCTGCAATCGCTAAGCCCCTTTCAGTCCAGGGGAAAAGAGAAGGCTTCTCTCCAATGTGACGCCGGTTTACACCGCCCTCATCCGACGAGGCGAAGGCTGCGGCTGCGGGCCGGCGCGGCGCTTTCACACGCGTCCAGTAAACACTAACCAAGCCCCTTAGGTTCCAGACACTGGAGGGGAGGCTCTGGGGAAAGCTGAATGTGGCCCCTGCCCTCACCGAGCTCACGGGCGAGGTGGGCAGAGAGGCCCTCTGCAAGCCAGCAAGGGAGGAGGCGCAGGCTGGTACCCGGCACGCGGGGACGGCGTGCTGCACGGTGGACAAGGCCGGAGAGGTGGATCTGGAGCTGAGCTCTCAAGAATGGCTTGCACGTAACTGGATGAAACGGGGACAGGAGTCTCCTACACGGAAGGAGCAAGAAGGCACATGGGAAGTAGGAGGAGCTAAAATGTGACCAGTGTGACGAGCCAGACACGGAGGGCAGCTGGTGAGGCATGAGCTAGAGATGCAGGGGAGGGCGCGGCCCCTTCCGGGAAGGAGTTCTGTCCCTTCTTCAAGATGATTAGATCTGTGCTGGGAGGGCAGGCACTACCCCAGGTCACGGGCCAGCCCCTGTTGACGCCCATCATTACGGTCCCAGGTGTCAGGTGCTCCTGGAGCATCAGCACAAAGCGCACAAGATGTTGGCATCGTTCAGGTGGCCAGGACCGCCGGACGCCCCTGCCCCACTCCCGAGTATCTCGAGAGGTAAATAACCAAGGTCAGCCCTGAGGTGGCCGTGGACACGTGGATTCTACCTAGAACAGAGGGTGTGGGACAGATGGCCAGGCTCCAAGCTTAGCACTAAGCACAGAAGAGTCTGTCTTTCCTGACAGTTGACACCAATTCCACTTCCTCCGTTTCTCCAGAACCAGGTGGTGCACCCTCTGCTCCACCGCTGGGCAGCCCTGGACGCGGGGGCTGTTCCCGGACTGTCGGGGTCTTGGCTCGCTCCTGCCCCGGGGCCACGCCGCCGACCCGCTATCCTCAGAGCCTGGTCCTTCCTCCGTTCAGGTCTCCATTTAGATGTTCGCTCCATCCACACAGGTCTCCACTTTCACCCATCCCCCTCCTTACATGTCTTTCTCCTTCAGAGCACCTTCTATTTTATGTATTTGTTTTCCTGTTTTCTGTCTATTTGCCCCCACTTGACAGTCAGCTCCGTAGGGAAGGGAATTTATCTATCTAGTCTCCTGGAACCCAGGTCCTGGCCCCGGGCCCGCAACACTGTGGAATGAATGAGTGGTAAATCTTCGTTGGACTGGAAAAGCATCCCTGAGGTTTAAACTGTTTACTCACACATCACGCACCTTCAGTAATAGTGTTTGAGAAATTTCTCAGGAAAACGAAGCGGCCCAAAGTTAAGGTTCCAAACTCTGTCCTTCTCTGCAGGCCCCGTGCATTTCCTGAGCTGTGTCAGGTGTCACACACACACACACACACACACACACACACCCCGGCCATGACTATGACTCACTCAGTCACTCCTGAGGCTTCAGGCGTCTCCGCCTGGGTCAGCTCCACCGTGTACGAGTCCACGGGATTCAGGTTCCCAGACTCCCAGCAAATCAGCGCAGCCTCTTCGCAGCTCCGTATCTCTTTGCTTTTTATAATGGGAGGGGAGGGTGCTAGTGCGGGACAAAGGGGGAGAGGAATGACCATTCTGCTCCTATCCAGACAGTTTGTCCAGAGCACGGCTAACCAAGCACAACCTCTGCCCACAAAAGACATTCAGTGCAATAAAAAACAAACCGGGTACAAGAGACTGAGTATTTGCGTACCCTCCCCCCGCCCAGAATTCATGTGTTGCAGCCTGTTCCCCAGCGTGGCAGTAGGTGGGGTCTTTGGGACATGATGAGGAGGGTGTCTCTCATCAAAGGGAGCCCAAGGAGCTCTGGGTCCCTTTCTGTTGTGTGAGGACGCAGCCAAAACAAAGTCAGCTGTCTACAGCCCCGGAAGGCTTCACATCAAGACACCAAATATGCTGGTGGCTTAAAAGGAGGCCCCTTTCAGCTTCCAAAACTGTGAGAGTTAAAATTCTGTCATTTATGAGCCACTCGGTCTGTGGTGTTCTGTCATGGCCGCCCACATGGCCCGAGACGCCGGGAACCCCTTTCAGACGGTTCCTGGAGCAGAAGGCGGCTGAAAGGTGAAATGATGCTGTGATTGTGAGCAGTGCTTTCTGATGTTTTGAGACCAACTCTGAGCAAGTGTCCCTTCCGTCCTAGGAACACAGGTTTGGTGTGTTAAATGAAAGGAAAATGGACAGCTATTCCTGCCCTTCCAAATGAAATCAAATGTCCTGCCACACCTCGAAAGCCGTGGCTCCTGGGGCCCCCCTTACCTGTCATGTACACTGCACGCTCACTGGCGGGGCTGCGGCCAGCCCTGTTCTGAGCTGTGACCCAAAATTCATACTGGGTATTTGGCACAAGATTTCTCACTGAGCAATATGTTTCTTTGACAGTCATTGTAAACTCTGGAAAACAAAAAATAAAAAACAAAAGACAAGAATTCAACCCCAAAAAGAGGCCAAGTGGCTCCAAATCAGCTGTGCTGAATGTCCCTGCAGTAGATGACAGAACTGGCCATAAACTCCTCCCACCCGTGTATGTGTTCTCTGCGGTGTGGCTTGCTGCTCCTTCAAGAGGTTCATTTTTTCCTGTCATCCCTTGATGGGCTGAGCCACGTGACTTGCTTTGGCCAATGAGACGGCAGCACACACGATGCCGCCAGATGCCTGGGAAACGCGAATGTGTGGGGGCTTGTCCTCTGGCTGCTGGGAGCACCGTCCATTTCTTTATTTTTTAACATTTAAAAAATAGTTTTTGTTTATTTTGAGACAGAGAGAGACAGCATGAGCAGGGGAGGGTCAGAGAGAGGGAGACACAGAATCTGAAACAGGCTCCAGGCTCTGAGCTGCCAGCACAGAACCCGACGCGGGGCTCGAACCCACGAACCGTGAGATCATGACCTGAACCGAAGTCGGACACTTAACCCACAGAGCCACCCCGGCACCCCAAACACTGTCCATCTCCACGTGAACAAGCCCAAGCCAGGCTTCCGGACAATGAGACCCGATGGACAGAGGCCCCAGCCATCCCTGCCAAATCCCCAGACCTGTAAGTGAGGCCATCCCACACCACCCAGCTCTACGTAGCCAAGCTGGCCCAGACCAGAAGAACGTCCAGCCAACTCACATAATTATAAGAAATAACAAATGTTTGTCATTTTAAGCCAATAAGTCATGCATATGTGTGTGGAATACGGCAGGATAGGGTATTGTTACACAGCAAAAGCTAACTGATACACCTCCAAACCTCCCTAGAGTCTTGAAAGGCAGTGATAACTCATTTACCCACCCTCTGATATCAGTTCCTTTATTACAAAGTGGTCCATTTAAGAGATCTTCTAGAGGGGCTCCTGGGTGGCTCAGTTGGTTAAACATGTGACTCTTGATTTCGGCTCAGGTTATAATCTTACAGTTTGTAAGATCAAGACCTGTGTCGGGCTCCGTGCTGATAATGTGGGGCCTGCTTGGGATTCTCTCTCTCTTCCTCTATCTCTGCCCCTCCCCTGCTCACGATCTCTCTCTCAAAGTAAATTAACATTACAAAAGAAAAGATCTTCATAGATTGCCATGACACAACCCAAACACAATGACTTCTCCTGTGTGTCTGCAGAGAGTGCCAACAGGGATGATTCATGACATGGACTGGTTAATCAGACCTGGCTTCATGGTCCCTGACCTCCCTTGTATTTATTTACTTTCATAATTTCTTTTTTTAATTTTTAGAGAAAGAGCACACAAGAAGGGAAGGTGAGTAGAGGGGGGAATCTCAGGTAGGCTCCCCACTCAGCTCCGACCCTGATGTGGGGCTTGATCCCACGACCCTGGGATCGTGACCTGGGTCGAAATCAAGAGTCGAACACTCAACCGATTGAACCACCCAGGCCCCCCTCCTTAACCTCCCTTTTAAAATCTTCCTCTTTCCCCACTGTGGCCTCTTTAGTCTTTGTTCAGATCACCCTCATCATCCGCTCACCTTATTCTGACCTCCCTCAGCATTACTTAATCTTACCCTTACTTTTCTCAAGCATTCCCCTTCCTTCCCGGTCCCTGCACAGAAAACCCACCCTCACCTTCGGCACTCAGACCCTCCCCCTGCCTGGGCTGGTGCAGCAGTGAGCTCTGTGTGGCGAGCCTGCACACGTGACTCTTGCCCTGCTCTGCCATCGCCCACTGTGTCCCCACGGACAGCACTTTCTCTCTTGTCTCAGTCCCCTTGCCCATGAGGTGGAAATCCCCAAGGCCCTCTCTTCCCACCCGGCCAATGGCTTATGTGTCGTGTGGGGAGTGGGGAAGCAGCTACGCCCAGCCCTAGGCCCACACCAGCTCCATGTCCCTGAGAAGGGGATGGGCCCAGAGCTGCCCACCCTGGAGGGTTGGGGACATTCCCAGGAGCGTGCTCAACCTGCGCATGTGGGTCTGATCAGCGGTAGCCCTTTCGAGCTGCTTCACGGGGGTCTGCAGGTTAACCCTCCAACTCGTCCCGGCAGGAGGCTGCTCTGAGAAGGGCCAGCCCAGGGGTGGGACGGGGGGGCGGTTATCCAGACAGCCTGTCAGGCCTCCTCAAGGAGGGGCGTCCCCACCCTTTCTGCACACAGCGGCCGACAGGGACTCATCCCAAGGACAGCTCTGGCCTGACGGCTATACCTACACTCCAGGCACCTTAGCTGGCCTGTGGCCTCCCCAGGCAGCCCCAACGTGCCCTCTGCCACACCCCCTGCCTGCAGCCCCGATGCCAGGTAGTTCCCGGATGACGACAGCCCCAAGCAGCTGCATACACAGATTCATCCCCCCTCTGCCCTTTCGATTACTGGGAAAACTGCTCCCCGGCCTCTGGGGGCCCTTGGCCGTGCCAGAGCGTGAGTACGACCTTGGCGGAGCCTCACCTGCTTGGTCCTTCCCAGGCGAGCTGTCCTGCACTGGCCAGTAGGACAGCACGTAGCTCTCCACCGTGTCGTCAGAGTACAGGCTCCAGCACACGCGGACGGAGGAGCCCGTGGCCGAGTTGGGGGCCTGCGGGTTTATTACCGGAGCAGAAGGAGCTGGACGAAGCAAAGGGAGAAAAGCAAACACAAGTGAGGAGCCCCCAGGAGAGGTGTGGGCTGCAGCCAGGACTCCTGGTCCCCTGAGGCATCCGTGGGCTTTGCCCAGACGGGACAAGGTCAGGAAGGCCACACCTCCTAAGCGCCAGCCTGCAGGCAACAACCAGCACGTCCATTCCTGCTCTGACAAACCCACGCAAACTTGCGGGGGAGGGTTCGGTGACAGGGACTCGGGCTGGGGGTGGTATGCAAGCCCTGCTACAGGCATGGGTCCTCTGACCCCTCCCACGCCATCCGGAGAGGCCGAGGCAGCCTGGACCACGGCAGTGCCGCCCACAACCCCGGAGAGAACAGAGGAGAGGAGCAGCTTCACCGGGAGAGCCGTCCGCCAGCCGTGTCTTCATCATGATGGGGGAAGACTGGGTTGGGCCAAATGTGCTTTTCAGAACCATCTTGAGAATCCACCTACTGAGTTAATTCTTTTTTTTTTTTTAATTTTTAATGTTTATTTATTTTTGAGAGAAAGAGAGAGAGCACGAGACAGAGCGTGAGTGGGGAAAGGGCAGAGAGAGAGGGAGACACGGAATCCGAAGCAGCTCCAGGCTCTGAGCTGTCAGCACAGAGCTCAAGACCTTGGGATCATGACTTGCGCCGAAGTCGGACGCCTAACTGACTCAGCCACCCAGGCGCCCTGAGTTAATTCTTTCATTTTCTGTAGGTTAATACTCTGCCTCCCCAGATTCACACACAACCGAGACACCCTCGTCTCTCCTCTGTGGACTCTTCTCCCTCGGCAGCATCTGCCTGCAGCCCAGTCTTTGCCAAACAACCTTGACTTCTGATTTTGACATTAATCTGTCCAGGTAAGAGCACAAGTAAACCTGAAGGTGCTTCCCAGCCGCAGCTCAGCCCTTCCTCTCTGGCCGGGGCCTGGAAGGTCCTAACATGACAAAGGAGAGGAGGAAGAGAAAGAACCTAATGACAAAGTCCAGAATGTACAGAGGGTGCCCTTCTATACCCTCAAGGGACAGCAAGAAGGGCAGGAGGTGCAGAGAGAAGAGAGGGGCCCTGGGGTTGGGAGCCTGCCAGAAGGCACCAGGTGATGGTCTGTATAAGACCTGGACTGGGGGGTGGGGTAGAGGGGGGGAAGTGTCGGCGTTTCTCAAGCACTGACTTGAGTGACCATGCCTTTCCTTCCAAATACCTGAGCCTGATGATCTGGGCAGCACCACCCCTTGGAAAGGGAGGGACCATCCATTGGACATCGAAGCTCAGTGAGATCACCCCATGAACCATGAGTCTAAGAATGGCCACCAAGATTTATCAATGAGGACGTCCATTACAGTGTGGTCTCTAATGGTGAAAAACCTAGAAACATCCTAGCAGCCAGTCCAGTTGAGAACCAAGTAAACAGGGGCGCCTGGGTGGCTCAGTTGGTTGAGCGTCCGACTTCGGCTCAGGTCATGATCTCACGGTTCGTGGGTTCGAGCCCCGCGTCGGGCTCTGTGCTGGCAGCTCAGAGCCTGGAGCCTGCTTCGGATTCTGTGTCTCCCTCTCTCTCTGACCCTCCCCTGCTCACGCTCTCTCTCTCTCTCTCTCTCAGAAATAAATAAAGCATTAAAAAATTAAAATAAAAAAATTAAAATAAAAAAAAAGAGAACCAAGTAAACAAATTAAGGTATACACCCATTAAAATGATGTTATAGAAGGATTTACAATACAAGAAATATTGATTAAAATTTTGACTAAAAAAGCAGGTTATGGGGTGCCTGGGTGGCTCAGTAGGTTAAGCGTCCGACTTTGGCTCAGGTCATGATCATGGCTTGTGAGTTTGAGCCCTGTGCCGGGCTCTGTGCTGACAGCTTGGAGCCTGGAGCCTGCTTCTGATTCTGTGTCTCCCCGTCTCTCTGGCCCTCTCCCACTCACGCTCTGTCTCTCTCACTCTCAAAAATGAATAAGTGTTAAAAAAAATTTTTTTTAATGTCTTTTATTTATTTCTAGGAGAGATAGAGAGAGACAGCGTGAGCAGGGGAGGGTCAGAGAGAGAGGGAGTCACAGACTGAAACAGACTCCAGGCTCTGAGCTGGCAGTCAGCACGGAGCCCGACGCGGGGCTCGAACCCACGAACCGCGAGATCATGACCTAAGCGAAAGTCGGACGCTTAACCGACTAAGCCACCCAGGCGCCCCAAAAAAAAATTTTTTTAAAGCAGGTTACAAGAGGGAATAAATGCCCTTTCTATTTCAAAAAAAGTCTGTGTAAAGGGAAAACCTAAAATGACATGTACATTTTTACAACATAGTTGGGTGTTGGTGAGGAAAAGGTGAGCAGTCAAAAATAAAAGGGCTAAATTACAGTATTATTCTTAGAAATTAGTAATCAAAATAGGGGCACCTGGGTGGCTCAGTCAGTTGAACGTTGGGCCCTTGATTTCAGCTCAGGTCATGAGCTCACAGTTCGTGAGTTTGAGCCCAGACAGCATTGGGCTCTGTGCTGATACTGAGGGGTCTGCTTGGCATTCTCTGCCTCTCTCCTTCTCTGTGTGCCCCTCCCCTGCTTGCTCTCTCTCTCTCTCAAAATAAATAAACTTAAGTAATACCTTTTTTTTAAAAAAGTAGGTAATCACAATAATATTTTTAAGTTTATTTATTGAGAGAGAGAGAGAGCAGGGGAGGGGCAGGGAGAGGGGGTAGAGAGAGAGAATCCCAAGCAGGCTCCCAAGCAGCACTGTGAGCACAGAGGCCAACATGGGCCTTGAACTCATGAACCACGAGATCATGACCTGATCTGAAATCAAGAGTCAGACACTTAACCAACTGAGCCACTGAGGTGCCCCCACAATAATGTTTTTAAGAGCCACCTGCTACCACGTGATGTGCTATACATACATTGCCTCACACAACTCCCACCATGTCCCCATGAGGCTTTATTATGTCCATTTTGTGGACAAGGAAACCAAGAGTCAGAGAAGCTAGGCAAGTTGTCTACAGTCACACAGCTAGGAAGTGGAAGGGCTGGGATTCTTACCAGCTCCACAGGGTCCCAAAGCTCACTTCTTAGCCACTGTGCTAGCTAAGTAAGTAAAATTCGGGCTACTCGCCTGGAGTAACTCAGGCAGGAGAACAGACAGGGGTTTATGAATCTGGGCAGGCTATGAACACAACATTTCAAGGCTGCCCAGGGCCAGATATTGGCTCCCTGCAAAGTAAGGGTGGGAACTTCCCCGGGGAGGTCAGCCTCTGTCCTCACTTTACATACAAGCTGTGAGGACATGAAATTAGAGGGGGGAAAATAAAAAACCTGTTTCTAAATCTTTATGAGGTTTTTTTAGCTATCAAAAGTTCTAACTCAAAGTTCAGGGACTTGGAACTTTCTGTGAAGTGTGCACACAGGCAAAATCTGCACCTGGGATGGTGTTAATGGAGCCCATGAGCTGCTCCACGTCAGAGAAGTCCAAGGTCTGGTCTTCAAAGTCAGGCTGTGCAGAGATTTCCACGTCTGTTTCTGTATTCAAGAATTTCCCGAGTCTGTTGGTATAAAAAGACATGCTAACAAGAAAGAGGGGGCACATGCCTTAGGGGGGGTCTACAGTGCCGGGTCATTGGTAATAAATGCGAAGGGCTCTTTGCTGAATTTTTATTTCTTTAACGCACTGCTGGCTGTCATCTGCTCCGGTGACTGACCCAGGGGGGTCCCCCACGGGGATGGGGGAATTGGTTTGTGCATTTGAGGGGAGTAGGGGTGGGTCATTTGGGGGGCATGTGCCTAAGAGCTTCAGATCTACACCCTCTAGAAGACCTCTCAGGTGCTGACCCAGAAGCTTCCATCCCCACGCCACCCCAGGCCCCACCATGCACAGACTGGGGTTTCTTCTCCACGGGGCCGAGCGTACTCAGCTTGCTGACGGGGGACTGGGGCTGTGAGCTTTCTTGCACCCGCTCCCCGGCAGTCACAGGGTTTGTAAGCAGCAGGGGCAGACTCTGAAATCAGGTCTGTCTTTCGTTTCTTAATCCTTATGTTATCAAGCCTCAATGTGCGTGTGGCTTTACAGACATTATCTCACTTAATTCCTATAAAACTCTCCCTGTCTGTAAATAAGGAAGGGGAGTCCTAGACTGGTTGGACTTGCCCAGGGTCATGGGCATAAAGGGATTTGAGCTCCTCTCTGGCTCTACAGCCGTGTGTGCTTTCTGTGGTGCACAGTCTGGGTCCTGGCACAGCTCAGGGGTGTGGGAGGTACTGGACACTGGCTCCTCCTCGTGAAAGGAGGGGCTCACAGGGGTGGCCTGACCACAGGCTTGCTGGCTGCGGTGTCTGAGATTTGGTACTAGCAGGCCCTAGTGACCCCCACCATGCCCCCAAAGCCAGCGCTGTTGGAGCTCAGGGGCAGATGTGAAAACTGTAACTGGGAGCACCTACCCAAGTGGAGTTGAGTCTAGTGACATCTAGAGGATCAAGAGACGGGAAAAGAAAATACGCGTCAGAGTAAGAGTATTACCTGTCAGCCATAGCCACAGCATCCTAAAAAGGAGGAGGAAAAGGAGAAAATACTAAATTTGATTTTGAAAATAAATTTCCTTTTCGAACTATATCGTGATATAAGCACATTTTAAAATTTGGAGATTAGGGAAAAGAGAAATGGCAGCCCTTTCCCCAATAACAAAACCACTCTCAGTCTGCCTGTGCATTTCTTCGAAGACTGCGTTTCCCCAGGGATGTTCCGGAAGCGCCCCTGTGTCAGAAATGGTCTTTTGGCCCACCCGTTGGAAAGACTGCAGAACAGCTCACGGAATGGGAATTCCATCGTTTACTTAACCATTCCTCTGGTGAGGGACATTTTGGTTGTTTCTAATTTTTCATCATCACAAATAACAGTGAGGAGAGCATTTCCACACATACCACTTTCTGCACATTCGGGATTATGTCTCAGAGATACCGCAATGTTGTGGGACCTGTGGTTCAAAAGGCCTGAGTGTCGAAGGCCCTAGTGGTGCCTGCAGACTTGCTTTCCAGCTTGTCATGGGTCCCTCGTCCCAAGCAGGGTGGGGAGGAAGTGCTGTTGGGCTTTAAGGGACCCCCTATGGGCGGGGTCAGTGTGGAGGCCATATTTGGCAATGGGGAAGCTTCAGAGGCTGTAGGCCCCTCCCCCACATCCTGGATACCACAACCGGCCATATTCCTGTGGGACTTTGTGAAGACAGGGGACCTCAGCGCTGATTGAGATTGAAATTCCCACAGCCCAGAAGCATGGGACCTTGAGCTCAGATTTAATTGGATTCCAAGCAAATTAAGAAATGGATTTTTTTTTTTGCATGTTTGAGTTTATAAAGATTTAAAATTGGTGCCGTTGTAACTGGAGAGTCGGAGTGTGCCTTTTTAGCCTGGATTACCTCCTCCTCAGAGCTCTAAGAGGCCGTCTGAGGTAACCAGAAAACTCTCAGAGCGCTGATGTTGCTCAGCTTCCTGGCGAGGGGGCAGGTCTCTGGGACAGAGGAAGGAAGGCTGGTGTTGCCTGAGGAATGGGGGAGGGAAGGGGTCAGCCGGTGTGAGTCTGCTCAGCTACTTACGGCGGGGCACAGAGACATGGGTGATCGCCTCACCATCATGACCACCCAGGAATCAGATGGATGCTGACGACAGAAGTCAACTGCAACCCCTCCAGGCAGACAGGGACCACCTAACCTACCCCAGCCATACTGTCCCTTCGGTTCACGATCTCATTTCACCTCGTGACTGACCTTTATGAAGTCAACCTTCTCTTCATGACACATCTCCTCTATGGTTTCCATGAGCTCCTTACAGGTATCCAGGTTTTCCCCACAGCTGACCAGCTGTTCATACAAGGCTTCCAGCTTCGCTTTCTTTTTCTCCCCTAGAGCGTGTATTTTTTCTTCGTATTTTTGAGCAAGTGTTTCCAAAATCTCGTTGTAATGTGACTCAAAGTTTTGTTCCTGTCTTCCAAAGTTCTCCTGCAAGACGGTTGACCGCCGCCATTATTATTTCAGTGAGTGTGCTATGTGGACTACAGAGTCATCTGGGGCATGAAAATATATCCACCCAGAGATGTTTTAGTCACTCCCACCCTTTTCTTATCATCTCTGGCCAGGACGCTGGGGCGGCTGCAGCGGGAGGTGGGACCAGGAGTCTATGGCTAGAGCCCCTGGGATAATTTTTTTTTTAAAGTAGGCTTCACGCCCGGCATGGAGCCTAATGTGGAGCCCAACATGGGGCTTTGAACTCACATCCCTGAGATCAAGAGTCAGACGCTTAACCAACTGAACCACCCAGGCGCCCGAGCCCCTGGGATCACCTTAATGAGAAGCACTGCCTTCTCTCCCGGCAGCATTTTGCAATCTTCCCCGGCCCCCACCATCCCCAGCCCCAAACCACCCCGCCTCTGTTGTGGCCACCTCCCAGGAACACGGTCAGTGACAAGTCAGCCCGCCCCCGTATCCCTGGACGGTGGACACCTATGGAGATGTCTGCCCTGGGAAATGAGCCCCCAGCATCTTGTGGCATTCACCTCCACTTTCTGATGCTTGCTTGCATCCTACAAACGCCAGGATCACACAGATCCTCGCATCAACTAAGAGAAGGATGCAGGGGGAAGGGGCGTAGGGACCGTGGCCAGATGGTCCTGCCTCATAGATGAGAAAACGTAGGAAGGCGGAGGGAGCCATTAGACCGTACTTAATCCTGGGGCAAGGCAGATGAGTAATATCAATTAAATCCTGTCCATTACTGGTCCTCTTAGGTTCGAAGCCTGGGAGAGCTTAGTGGGTTGTGACTGATGCCACCCTCACCAGGTTAACAGAGACATTTCCAAAGCAGAGGCTCTTATTGATGACCCAGGGAGTATTTACTGAACATCTGCTGGGTGCCCAAGACTTGTTCAGAATGGCAGCAGAGAAGGATAGCAGTGGGGGACTCCCCAGTGTTGGTGTAAAAAGGGAAACTCAAGAGTCCTCACTGAGGGTGAGGGTATTTGGACCTGAGAGTGAGCTGGCAAAGTGAGTGTAGGGAATTTTGCCCGGGTGGCTGTACCTCTGTCCCTCCTACAAGTACCTTATGCTCGCTCCTTCCCTGTGCCCCACAGAGGGGATTGGTGCAAAGTTCTCCCTCTTAAGACTGGGGCTGAAGAAGGTCCAGCTTCATGGAAAAGGGGCCTGGGGTTTAGCTAATTCATATGAAGTTGTTCTTGTGTATACAGTCTGAGGCTCTATTAATAGAGGTAGAGCACCCACAGGCAGAGAAGGAAGGTGGAAAGTCCTGGTCCTTGTCCTCATCTGGATGGGGAGGCTGAGGGCCGGCATCACAGCGGTGTACGACATACCTACTCGGCCCACCCGGGGGGCGGTGACGTGTTTGGTGACAGGCACAGGCGCGTGTTAGTCTTATGAGAAACAGATACCAGCTGGGGAAATAAGGAGGGATGGGTGCCTTGTCCAGTCTGGACCATGCAAGACCCCACCCCCCTAAGCGGGACTGAGGATAGAGAGAAGAGACCCTGCCTCCCCTCGGGAGCCTCTGGTTCAGTAGGGAATGTGGACCGGTCACCGGTTCCAGGGGGGTTATGTGCCCAAGGTCCCGTGGGAAGGCAGGGGAAAGGGCGAGAGGCGGCGGCTCTCTGACTCCCATCAGCCTCAGCTGCTGACCCGGCCACGGCGGAAGCCACGCGTGTCTGACCGCGTCACCGCACCTGCTCTTACCTCCACTGTGATGAAAACCTCCTCCAAGTGATTTGCAAAATTCTCCATCTCGATAATCTGCTTTTCCAGTTTGAACATGTTTTTGTGAATTTCGTCCTGGGAAACAGAGGACCCCAAGGGGACGTGAATGCTCTTTCCTCTCTTCCGTAGGAGGTGTTTTACATCCATTCCGCGTCCCTGAGACACAGACGCACTCGGGGCAGCTGGGGAGCCCCGTTTACCTTGGCGCTCTCCAGGGCCTGGCTGAGCGGGGCCACCTCGTGCTCTCCGTGCGCACCGGGAACCTCCGACGCCCTTACCGGCGCTCTGCAGGTGACACAGAAGCCCAGGGCGGCCTCGTCCTCGTCCGCCTCCTCGGGGATGACGTAGCACTCGTACTCCTCGCTGGCCCGGCCGTGCGCGTACCTGTAGGCTTCCCGCAGGGCCCGGCTCGCCGCGCCCCAGCCCGCGTCCTCGGCCTCGGCGCCCGGGCGCCGGTCCCACTGCGCCCCGGCCGCGGGCAGGTGCAGCCGGGGCTCCGGCACCTCCGCGCGCCGCGCGCTTCCGCCCGCGAGCGCCGCGCCCCACTCGCCACCACCTCCGAGCGCGTACGCATCCTCGAGCTCCTCCACCTCCCCCTCCAGGTCGCCCTGGGCCTCACCTGGGGCCGCCCCCGCGGGCTCGCTGGTCATTTCGGCGGGGACGTGTCTTCCCGGCCGCGTGTGTTCTTCAGGGAAGGGCTGCAGCCTGTCTTCGGGCTCATACGGATCCACGGCATAGAAGTGGGAGTCGCGGGGGGCCGGGGACCTGTGCACCTCGGGCGCGCCCCCGGCCTCCCCGTCCATCGCGCCTCTGCACGGGCACGGCTCCTCCCGCGCGCGCCTCCTAGGGGGGTCCTGGGTCCTAGAACACAGAAGGAGGGGGAACCCCGTTTCTGAGAAGGCCATCCCAGGAAATGGTCATGAGATTGGGCTGGACTCATTCGCAATTAAAAAAAAAAAAATCATTTAAGCAGTTCAGCCGTGGGTTTACTTGGAACCATCTGCAAAGGGAGGTTTGCTTTCTCCAGGAAAGAGGGGCTTTCTAAGCTTTAAGGGGACCAGAAATAAAGAAATGCCAGACGTTTTGACTGACAAAAGACTCCTTCACCTCTGTTTGAGGCAAAATAATGGGAAGCGGCTCAGGCAATTATTAGACAAGGTGTATAAATGGACTGAAAAAAAATTAAGAACGCAATAAATTGATGTGCAAGGACAATTCAGAAAATAATCACTTGTGGAAAAACATTTGGAAAATGGTTCGTCCTTACAAGTCACAGGGAACAAATAAGATGCCATTCTGCCCTCCCAGCAGGCAAATATTTAGAAATATAAGAACGAGACCTAAGGCTGGTCAGGGGTACAGAGAAGTGCGGACTCTCATGTGCTGTGGGTTTGAATGGACACCAGGTTCCCTGCTGCAGAGTGAACTGCAAGATGTGGATCAGCAGCCTTTGTTCACACTCTACACTAATAATCCCCATCAGGACGCTGAAAGAAAATATCAAATGCAGGGGAAAAATATTTCTATATAAAAATATCCATCACAAAATATTCTTTTTTATTTATTTTTTAAAAATTTAATGTGTATTTATTTGGGGGAAAGAGAGAGAGAGTGTGCATGCCCGTGTAGGGGAGGGGCAGAGAGAGAGGGAGACACAGAATCTGAAACAGCTCCAGGCTCTGAGCTGTCGGCACAGAGCCCAACGCTGGGTTCAAACTCATGAACCACAAGACCATTACCTGAGTGGAAGTCTGACACTTAACTGACTGAGCCACCCAAGCACACCACAAAGTATTTTATGACAGAAAAAAAATTGTAAAGCCCTAATGATTAGGAGAACAGTTAAGTAAGCTAGGTTATGTGTACTCCCTAGGATATAATGCAAACTTTAAAAAGTTAGGGAGAACGAATGATAACTTGGGAAAAGATTTACAATACATTAAGTAAAATAAATGGAATATTCATCATATACAGACTATGAAATGTACTACTATGGAGGTACATAAAATCTAGAAAGAAATAATAACGGTAGAAGTAGTAAATACAATATTAGTCACAGCTACGACTTACTGAGCACTTACGTGCTTTTTCTGTGTTTGGCAATTTATATACATACCCTTAGGCGGTGGACACTGCTATTATCCCCATTTTACTGATGAGGAAACTGGCTCAGAGAAGGTATCTCGTGCAAGGTCATACGGTTACTAAGTTGTTGAACTGGGATTTGAACCTTAGTCTGTGTGGCGGCCACGAGACAGTGCCTAACAGATGTCCAACTCTAGGGAGCTCAGTTGACCAGGTGTTTCAGCTGCACTCGGAAATCCATCATCACAGTTGCAGGGACGACACATCTCTTTGGGCACCTCCATCCAATGACAAAGTGTAGCCGGGACACTAAGGAAGATTCATTTCTGTGTGACACAAAACTCCTCTGATGGCAAATTTGGGCTGGAAGACTCCTTGACAGCCTTGCCAAAATTTTCTTAGGGTGCATGCCTTCCTACACTGTTGGTGGGAATGTAAACTGGTGCAGCCCCTCTAGAAAACAGTGTGGAGGTTCCTCAGGAAACTAACAACAGAACTCCCCTAGGACCCAGCAGTAGCACTGCTAGGAATTTACCCAAGGGACACAGGAGTGCTGATGCATAGGGGCACGTGGACCCCAATGTTCATAGCAGCACTCTCAACAATAGCTAAAACATGGAAAGAGCCTAAGTGTCCATCAACGGACGAATGGATCAAGAAGATGTGGTTTATCTATACGATGGAATACTCTATGGCAATGAGAAAGAATGAAATCTGGCCATGTGTAGCAACACGGATGGACCTTGAGGGTGTTATGCTGAGCAAAGTAAGTCAGGCAGAGAAGGACAAATACCATATGTGCACGTATAGGAGGATGAGGAGGAACTTAACGGAGGACCGTGGGGGAGAAGAAGGGGAAAAGTAGTGGGGGAGAGGGAGGGAGGCAAACCATGAGAGACTCTTGAATGCCAAGAACAAACAGAGGGCTGATGGGGGAGGGGGGAAGGGGAAGGGGGGTGATGGGCATGGAGGAGGGCACTTGTGGGGATGAGCACTGTGTGTTATATGGAAACCAACTTGACAATAAACTATTAAAAAAAAAACTTTCTTAGGGTGCATGGCAGACTAGGGTGATTCCCCCAAGCCATCCTTTCCTGTCTCCTTCACTCAGGTCAGACTTGCATCGTGGTCTGACAGCTCTCTCATCCTTTCCTATCTTCCTTCCCATTTTATCTCACACACTGCTTCCCTTAATACAATTCTTTATATCCAATCCCATCCGGTGCCTGCTTCTTGGAGAACCTGGATTACACAGTCTAGTGGATTCCAAAGTCCCTGCTTTCTTCTTGGTGCATAACTGCCATTATATTACTTTAAAAAAAAACTTTTTAATGTCTTATTTATTTCTGAGAGAGAGAGACAGTGTGAGCAGTGGAGGGTCAGAGAGAGAGGGAGGTACAGAATCTGAAACAAGCTCCAGGCTCTGAGCTAGCTGTCAGCACAGAGCCCGACGCAGGGTTCGAACCCACGAACCGTGAGATCATGACCCGAGCCCAAGTCGGACTCTTAACCGACTGAGCCACCTAGGCACCCCTAAGTCAGATTATTTTACCATAGTTTTGCTGATACAGAATTCACGTACCATACAACTCTCCTGTCAGAAGTGTATAAATCAAATGGTTTTTAGTATATTCACAAAAAATGAGCCAAAATTACCATAGTCAATTTTAGGCCATTGTCATCACTTTGAAAAGAAACTCCATACCTTCAGCTACCACCACATTCCCGCATTTCCCTCAGCCCTAAGCAACCACGAATTCGCTTTCTGTCCCTATTGATTTTCCTGTTGAGACATTTCACATAAATGGAATCATATACTGTCTTTGGTAACTGGCTTCTTTCCTACCATCATGTTTTCAAGGTTCATCTATGTTGTAGAGTATGAATCAAGTGCTCTTCATTCCTTTTTAGAGCTAGATAACATTCCATTATATGGGTATGTCGTATTTTATTTATATGTTCATCAGCTTATTTGCATGCTTCCCTTTTCATTTAGGTCATTTTCACCTTTTGGCTATTATAAGTAATGCTGCTAAAATGCTTGTGTACAAGGTTTTGTGTGGATAGATGTTTTCATCTCTTTTGGGTATATACCTAGGAGTAGGGTTGCTAGGTCAAATGGTAACTCTACGTTTAGCTTTCTGAGGAACTGCCAGGTTGCTTTCCAAAGTGGCTGCACCATTTTTCATTCCTATAGCAATGTATGAAGGCTCTGATGTCACCACATCTCGGTCGACACTTGTTATCTGATTAAAATTTTTTTTTAATTTTTTTTTTTTAATTTCTAGGAGAGAGAGAGAGAGAGAGAGACAGCGTGAGCAGGGGAGGGTCAGAGAGAGAGGGAGTCACAGACTGAAACAGACTCCAGGCTCTGAGCTGGCAGTCAGCACAGAGCCTGATGCGGGGCTCAAACCCACGAACCGCGAGATCATGACCTAAGCGAAAGTCGGACGCTTAACCGACTAAGCCACCCAGGCACCCCTATCTGATTAAAATTTTTTAATGTTTATTTATTTTTGAGAGATAGAGAGACAGAGAGACAGAGCAAGAGTGGGGGAGGGGCAGAGAGAGAGGGAGACCCAGAATCCGAAGCCAACTCCAGGCTCTGAGCTGTCAGCACTGAGCCCGACGTGGAGCTTGAACCCACGATCCATGAGATCATGACCTGAGCTGAAGTCAGATGCTTAACCGACTGAGCCATGCAGGTGCCCCTCTGAGTTTTTGATTGTAGCCATACTAGTGGGTGTGAAATAATATCTCATTGTGGTTTTGATTTGTAGATCTCTGATGAATAATGATGTCATGTATTTTTTTCATGTATTTATTGGCCGTTTGTATATATTATCTGGAGAAATGTCATCCAAATAGTCTGCTCACTTTTAATTGGGTTATTTGTAAGATTTCTTTATATACTCTAAAGACTAGTCCATTAACAGATATAAAATTTGCAAATATTTTTTTCCCATCTTGTAGGTTGTCTTTTTACTTTATTGATGGTGTCCTTTGAAGCACAAAGTTTTTAATTTTGATGAAGTCTCCTTTACTTTTCCTTTTGTTACTTGTGCTTCTGGTATTGTATCTAAGAACTCACTGCCAACTCTGAGGTCAAGCCAACCTTGGATTCCTGGGATAAGTACCACTTGGTCATAATATACAATTTTTTTATATGTGACTGGATTCAGTTTGCTAGCATTTTTTGAGGAATTCTGCATTTATATTCCTGAGAAAGATTAGCCTGTGATTTTTCTTTTCCTGTAATGTCTTTGTCTGGTTTTGGTATCAGGGCGATACTCATATCACACAAGAGTTTGGGAAATGCTCCTTCTCTTCTATATTTTGGCAGAACTGGTGAAGGATGGGTATTAATTCTTCTTTAAATGTTTGGTAATATTCACCAGTGAAGGTATCTGGACTTTGTGAAGTCTTTTTCCTTATTATTAATTCAGTCTCTTTATTTATTATAGGCCTATTCAGGTTATCAATTTCTTCTTGAGTCAGTTTTGGTAGTTTGCATCGTTCCAAGAATTTCTTCATTTCATTTAAGTGATCTAAATTATTGGAATACTATTGTTCATAGTATTCTTTTTAATTATGTAAGGTTGGTAATAATGTACCCTTTTTCATTTCTGATTCTAGTAATGTGAGTCTTTTCTCTTTTTCTCTTGGTCAATCTAAGTCAAGGCTTGTCAGTTTTGTGATCTCTTTGGATTTTCTCTATTGCTTATCTATTCCCTTCTTCATTAATTTCCACTATAATCTTTATTATCTCCTCCTGT